TTCTTGTGATTTATTAATAGTCATCACAAATGCGGGCATCACGGGAAACCGTCATTGAGTCAACTTAAATGGGAGGCCAGTGTCAGATGGGGACAAATTAATTTTTGGAATCAGAACAGCCTCTCCCTCTGCAGATCCTGTTAATACTTTAGCTTCAATAATGTTAGGTCATAATCTTTTGATAATAAGTCTGGTACCATTACAAAGACCCAATTTACTATTGAGATTTCTCAATAGCATGATGATTGCACCCACTTTCAATTTTAATTTATGACACGGCAATCCCGAAGGAGTAATACTATTGAGAAATTCGATGGGAAAATTTTCCTTTTCAGCATCATCTGTTGAGTCAATAGAATCATCACTCAAATATGTGTGAAACTTTCCATCAAGTATATCCAAAATTTCTTCATTTAAATTTTGAACATGCTCATTTTATGGACAAAGAATTGCACGTTTAGATATTTTTTAATATCTATAGCAGTGGTTCTCAACCTTGGCTGCACATTAGAATCACCTGGGAATGTTTTTAAAATCCTGATTTCTGGGCCTCACCCTCTGGAAATTGTTTCTTTGTTATGGGGTGGGGCCACAACATTAGTAACAAAGAAAAGAATTAAAACTTTATTGTGGGGAGCCGCTACAGTGTTTTGGACAGGTTCAAGCCTTGGACTGATGAGAGGGCACAGTCCTCTCATTGCCACGTGCAAGACCCAGCTTGGAGGGCAGGGCCCTCCCAGCACCGTTATAGCCAACAGCTGTAGTTGTAAGCTTGAACCTATGGTCTGAACACGTGGCCCCACGTGCCTGAGTGATGTAGGCTTGATAGAGTTCAGGTACATGTAGTTGAGTAGGATTGAAACCCAGGAGAATGTTGTAAACATCTTGGTCACGCCCTTACTTTGCCTCATAGCATCTGTTATAAAATAAAGGCATGGCTGTGGGCATGGTCACTGTCTCTCAGAGAAGCAGCGCCCCACCGAGACCCAGCTTTCATTCTCTTGTCTGTCTTTTCTAAGCCTTTCAGCTGCCCCCACTCAGGTTCACCCTTGGGTGTGCTGGCGGGGTACACTTTATAAAGATATGCCTCCACACTTCCAGGGCGGGTTCCTGCCTCAAACCCTGCCCTTACAGGAAACAGCTCGGGGAAACAGCTTCGGGGAGGGTGCAGCTGTTGCCAAGACAACCCCTGCAGGACTGACTTCCTTCTGCTTGGTCGCAGTTCTGGTGGTCGTGATGAACACCACCCAGGGTTTTTATTTAAGTAGATATAAGTAGATATGCATTACCTGTGGACACAGACAACTTATACGCATATACGTATTATCTATGGACACAGACAATAGGGTGGTGAAGGCCTGAGATGAGGTGGGAACCAGGTGGAAGGGAGCAATGGGGGAAAGAAGAGGGACATCTGTAATACTCTCAACAGTAAAGATTTTTTTAAAAGATCATTGATGTTACATTTTAAAATGGGCAGAAGAGCCCAGCTGGTGTTGCTTAGTGGTTGAGCATGGACCCATGAACCAAGAGGTCCCTGGTTCAGTTCCCAGTCAGGGCCACATGCTTGGGTTGCAGGCTCTATCCCCAGGGGGGGTGTGCAGGAAGCAGCTGATGGATATGTCTCTCTCGTTGATGTTCCTCTCTATCCCTCTCCCTTCCTCTCCTCTCTAAAATCAGTAAAAATGCGTTTAAAAATAATAATAAAATGGGCAAAAGATTTAAACATTTCACAGAAGAAGATAAATAATGACCAATAACCACACAAGAAGATATTCAGTCTCACTAGTCATGAGAAAAATACAAATTAAAACCACAATGAGATAATACTTTACCTCCATCAAACACCTGAAATTAAAGACTGACAACACAAATGTTTGCAACTTGAACTCAAATAAGTTGTTGATGAGACTGCAAAATGATATAGTTCCTTTTGAAAACAGATTGGCAGGGTGTTGTTGTTTTTTTAAATTAAACCTACACTTATATTATTCATTCATTCACTCCAGGATATTAAAAACATCAAGATGTTCACTGTCATGATGCTGAATTTTTTAAAAGTACATATATATTATTTCATTTTTATGAGTTCTACAATAAGATAAACTAATTGTATTATTTTTCTACTGCTGCCATAAAAAACAACCAAAATTTCAGAGGCTTAAACAAGACAAATTTATTATCATACAGTTCTGTAGGTCAGAAGTCTAAATATTGGTCTCCTCCGGATACTGGCAAAGCTGCATTTTCTTTTGTAGGCTCTCAGTAGGATGCATGTCCTTGCCTTTTTGTATATTTAGACGCTGTCTGCATTCCTGGCTCTTGGTCTCTTTTCTCCTCTTCTGCCTCCCTCTTCAACTTTTAAGGACTCTTGTGATTCCAGTGAAAACCCATTCAGATAATTCAAGATAATCTTCCTATTTTAAGGTCAGCCGATTAGCAACCATATTTCTATCTGTAACTGTAATTCCCCTTTGCCATGTAAAGTACAGGTTCTAAGGATAAAGTTTAGGGCATCTTTGCAGACCATTAACATAAGGTGAAAAAAATCAAAATGGTGATTGCAGACAGTGGTTGGGTAAGAAAAATTGACTGGGAAGGGATGGATGTGTGGCAATTTTCTGGCAAAATAGAAATATCCTATATTATGATAGAGGTATATGTTTTTTGTCCAAAGTGCACAGCAAAGGTGAGTGTATTTCAATGTAGGTAAGAGGACTATTAAAAGTAAAAACAAATGACGGGGGCATTGGGAATGGATGGAGGAGTAGATGAAACAAGGATGGCAGGACGTTATTTTCGAAGCTGGTAACAAGTACCTGGGAGCTCATTATTCTGTTTACTCTTTTAATTTGGAATTTCTCGTATTCAAAAATTAAAAGAATGTTCATTTAGTTCTAAATAGTTAAGTCCTTAAAAGCCATGAAAATGTGTATTTGTAAAATTGAATCCGAGTTATTTCAAATGTTTTAAAATACCAAACTTTGCAGTAATAACTAACTGCTCTTTTTGGCAGCCACGAAGAACTATATTCAGGTCGCCCTTATGGAGCTCTTGATTCAGGTTTCAATAGTGTTGACAGTGGTGATAAGAGATGGTCGGGGAATGAAGTAAGTGTTTATTCTGTTCTGCATGTTATAATTCCTGATTAAGGAAAAATCAAATGATGAAAATGAAAAGTTTCTTAGTAGGGTTCAATTTCTCATTACATAAAATATACAGAAAAACCAAAGGAAGGGTATAAATTCCACATAGTCATACCATCCAAAACTTGTTTCTTCAATATCTTTTTACCATGTGTGTTTTACATGTTTATTACCTCAATGTCTTGTATAAATAATTTTATATCCTAGAAACCTAAGCAAGAACTGAGCCAGTTACAACTGATGGGTAAAGAAATGGGAACCTTAGTAAAGAATATCCACATGCTCAAGATAAACAACTTAGCCAATTATATCAGATTTTGCTTTCGTTTCATTATTAGTAATATATTTTCTCTTTTCAGAAATTACTAAAGTATTAAATTTTTAGCCACAGGTTGGGTTAAGTGATTAAGTACCATTTATAACATCATTTGTGAGTCAAAAGCAAATTAATTTTAGGTGTGCACCGATTTGTAAAATTACTTCTTGAGTGGGTATGTACATAATTTTGGTTCTACCCATATCCTATATAATAAAAGCCTAATATGCTAAGTGTCCAGTTGTCCGTTCAACCAATCAAAGCATAATATACTAATGATATGCCAAGGCCGCTCAACCGCTTGCTATAATGTGCACTGACCACCAGGGGGCAGACACTCCAACTGGTAGGTTAGCTTGCTGCTGGGGTCCGGATGATTGGGACTGAGTGAAATGAGCCGGACACGCTCTGGAGCCCTCCCACAGCCCTTCCCCAGCTGGCCAACCTCCCACATATCTCCCCGGCCCCAATCATGCACCGGTGGGGTCCCTCGGCCTGGCCTGTGCCCTCTCGCAATCTGGCACCCTTCAGGGGATGTCGGAGAGCTGGTTTCGGCCCTTTCCTGCTCAACACAGGAGCTTCCCCCTAGTGGTCAGTGCACTCCCACACAGAGGCCTGTGCCCTCTCGAAATCCGGGACCCCCTGGGGGATAGCAGACTGCCAATTTTGGCCCAATCCCCGCAGGCCAGGCCAAGGGACCCCACCAGTGCATGAACCTGTGCACTGGGCTGGTTTCAGCCTGATCCCTGCAGGCCAGGCCAAAGGACCCCACCAGTGCATGAACCTATGCACCGGGCCTCTAATATGCATATAAGATCTTTGGTTAATCTCCCCATCCCCCCTTCCCTCTGAGATTCATCAGTCTGTTCCACGTTTCCATGCCTATACGTTGAGCATCTGCCCCCTGGTTGTCAGTGTGCATCATAGCTACCAGTCAAACAGTTGAACAGTCGCTTAGGCTTTTATATAGAGAGATTATTTATTAATTTTTATGTTATTTTCCATATGATCAACTATATACCTACTTTTGCCCCACCCTATATTTATAGTCATACATACCCTTCTATATCACCCAAGGATATGTTTTTTATAGATCTGAGAGACAGATCTATAAAAAGATCTGAGAGAGAACCCAGGGATGGGACCCTCAACCTTAGTATATGCCCTGACCAGGAATCTAACCCGCAACATTTTGGTATATGGGATGATGCTCCAATCAGCTGAGCCACCCAGCCAGGGGCATTTTAATCATTCCTAAGTATACATTTTAGTGGCATCAAGTACATTCACATTGTTGAGAAACTTTCACCACTATGCATATCCAGAACTTTTTGGGTATTTTTTCCTTAAATATACATTTTAATGAGTTTATATTATATCCGTGCTTTTAAATACTTAGTAATCTAAAATGTAGAATGATGTTTTTTAATGTTTCTGCTATTTTTTTAAGCCTACAGATGAATTTTCAGATCTGCCTCTTCGAGTAGCAGAAATTACTAAAGAACAAAGACTACGAAGAGAAAACCAGTACCAAGAGAATCGCAGCAGTGTAGTAGTAGCAAATGGAGGTAAATATAATTCCTGATGACATATCAAGTTTTTATAATTACTCTAAAAAATGGTCTTTTTCACACCTCCTCCTTTGGTTTGTGTATTTGTAGCTTCTTCAACTCTTCTTTTAAAGTCTTTCTCTTATATAATTGGGGAAAAAAAATGTTTTCTGTTGAGATTAAATTTCAATTTCTCTATATTTTCAGGCTTTCAGTTAAAATACAGTGCTTCTCTCTTACCTTTATTTTGGGAGGAAACTTTATTAACGACAATTTATCTGGATTAGATTTTTGTTAATTTAACCAGAATCTTCTTTTGAAGTACTAGTCTTCTTTCAAAGATTCTTTTTGTGGTCATTACTTTACCTCTTTTAGGAATTCAGTGCTATTCTTCATTACCTTTTCCTTCATCTGGAATTGTGCTCTTCAAGGGCATCTGAATCTGAGTCATCCATATTCTGATATTTTAATATTTGTGATTTAAAATTGTTTTTATAGCTCATTAACAGACAGAACTCTTTTTGTTTGTACTTCTGCGGCAGACTTGATTTTCGTATTCTACTCAATATTGCTTTAATTTGAATTTTTAAATTTTGAGGATTAGCCATAAGGGAGAAATGACTTTGATTTTCCAGAAATCTATTGTATTATCTGAGAAGATGCTTAATCCTGACTCATTATTTCAATTAAGTGGTTTGCTATCTTTTTTTCCTACCATCTTATATTCTTTTTTTTCTCCTGTTATTTAGCATTTCTTCATATTTTAGTGGTTTTCTTTTTAATCTTGCTTGTATATGTAATAATCTTTCTTTTTGATTCATTTCAGCCTTAAAATAATGTCTATATCTGTGCTGTCCAGTATAGTAGGCACTAGCCACATGTGGTTATTGAGCATTTGAAATGTGGCTTTTCTGAATGGAGATTTATTATAAGTGTAAACAGATTTTTGAAGACTTTGCATGAAAAAAGGAATGTAAAATAATGTTTTATATTAATTACATGTGGTAATGATAATATTTTAGATCTATTGAACAAAATAAAATATATTATTAAAATTAGTCAAATTTCTTTTGACGTTTAGAAATGTGGCTACTAGCTAATTTAAAATTACATACGTGGTTTACTTTTGTGGCTTACATTCTATTTCTCTTGGACAGTGTTGGTCAAAATAGTATGAAAAATGATACTGCATTCTTGGGAAGTAGTCATAAAATGAATTATTTTTTTAGTCACACAAGTTGTAGCACATTGGGAAAAAATGCATTTATGTACCTGGTTTCTAAGGTGGGTGTAGACCTTTTCATCCTTTTACCTATTAATATAACTAGTAACTCAAAATTTATTTTTGTATTAACTTCAGTTATGGAAATATTTAGAAATAATTGAATTAGAAAACTAAATTGAAAAGTAGACTTCTTCAAATCCACTATTCCCAGAAACTGCAACTTGTAGCCAGCCTACAGAATATCATACAGTAATAGCTGGGGTTTGATACATCTCTAGAGAAACCATCTTTGTAGCAAGTATTTTTTTTTTCTAGCATGCCATTTTAACTGGATTTTTAAATGGCTAGTTTCTAAGCTTAACAATAATGGGGTACTCCGAAACTTATTAGAAGAAATAATGATGTGATTTTATATTTTATTTATATACTTCTCCTCACCACAAAACATTTTGAGAATAAAAAATTCCCCAAATGATTTTCTTCTATCCACAAACTGCTATAAAATATCTACAATGCTGACCTCTAGAAAATAATTTTTCAATAGAAAATCTTTGTTCTGGTTATGGACAACAGTTAATAGGAAGGGAAACAGTAGTCTATTTCTTTATCTCCAAGTTCACTTTCCTCCAATCCTTTCTCTTTTTTTTTTTTGAGTTGTGTTAGGTTTTCTGCCTCCCACCTCTTCAAAGAGAGGTATGATTACGCCCAAAATCTAAAACTTGGGGAAAGAACCTAAAAGAAGACATACCTTCCAATTTTAAAAATTATTCTTTCTTTGTATCAAAAACTCAGACTGTCTTATTTAAAACAGTAAAGAGCTGTCCATAGAAAGAATAAATATTAGAGGTCTGTATTCTAATACTTATCATCAATTACTATATGCTTTAGTGAATTAGGACTAATGTTTTTCTGGAGCCTATTTTTGTGAGTGGCCATGGACTAATAATAAAGGCTTACATAATTTAAACTTCTCATTTCTTCCACTTTCAGAATAGAACATGTTAGGGAAAAGGAAAAAATGCAATGTAATGTCTTTCATTAGCTATCTAATTTGAATGTTTTTTTCCTGATGTGTGTGTGATGTGGACAGTGGAACACGATTTGGATCAAATTGACTACATTGACAGCTGTACTGCAGAGGAAGAAGAGGATGAGGCGAGGCAACCTAAGGGCCTGGACTCAGACAGCCTCAGTTCACAGTTTATGGCATATATTGAACAACGGCGAATCTCTCATGAGGTAGTACACATATATAAGCCTAACTATGTTGCTACCCCCTAGTAAAATAATTTATGGTAGTATAAATTTTTGTCCTATCAGTGATTTGTTGGTTTAGGCCTTATTATTTGTTTTATTATGCTCAGTTCCAGTTTCATTACTGAATTTTTCAGATTCATTTTTAAAGATTAGACAATAGTCTCAAATAGGGTTTAGGTTTTATTTTTCAAATAAAAGGACAGATTTCAGAATTTTTAAAAAAGAATTTAAAAAGTCCTAAGAGTATTCTATGCCTTTGAAGAAAATGCAAAGGAATGTGATGCTTTTAATTGTTGTTCTTACTGCTTTTTTATTGTTACATATTGATAATCATAGTTTGATCAGTAACTAATAATTGAACCAAACCGATGACTTTCAGAGCAGCATAGAAACTTAACCATAGAATTTGTATAATGAGCTTAATGATATTGGAGCTTCTATTCTCAGTCTTACAGAATATAAATTGTTTGCCAATAAAATTCTTGGATGTCTCTTATAGTGGAGCATTGAGTTGCTATATAAAACAAACAAGCATTCAGTCCACTGCAAGAACTCTGCCAATTCCCCAAAGGTCTCAAGTAGAAATAGCATTCTTCAATAAATCTTGTCAGCATAATAAAATGGCTCCACTTTAGTTTGTGCATTGTTAATGTCTGGTGTTGGTCCCAGGTTCTGAGCAGGGGTTATTGAGAAACACTTGGGCCTTTTTGAAGAATGATGAAATAGAGAATAATCATTTCAAGTGGGACATGTTAGGAAGTGATATTATCATTCTTTTAAAAACCCTTTGGTTTTCCTATCTGAAGGCTTTTGAACACAATATTTTTGTTGGCATTCAGAAGGCACTCTTGTATTTAAAGTTGAATGGAGTTATATAAATCTGAGTCCTGCAGCCCAGAGATATCAGTGTGTTCCAGGTGATGAATGGAACTACTTGTGGTTCAGGCTATAAACATCCCTGCTAGAGCAAATACTTTGTAATAAAGTTAAAATCAACAGTGTACACTATAATCTTTTTTAAAAAATATGTTTTTATTAATTTTAGAATGAGAAGAAGGGAGAGGGAGAGAGGTAGAAACATCGATTAGAGAGAAACATTGATTGGCTGCCTTCTGTACTCCCCCATCTGGGGATATACCCTGACTGGGAATCAAACCAGCGACCTCCCAGGCATGGTTCAATACTCAGCCACTGAGCCACACCAGCTGGGCAGCAATGCACACTGTAATATTAAAGGGAATCCTTTTTATTTTCTTAAGGTCTCTTTGATTATTTTATGGTTACTGTATAAATGAGGTATCTCTACTAAAAGTGATAATGCCTATTACTTTACTGGTGAAAAATTGTAGTACCATTTCTTCAATCCATTATATTGGCTAGTTTGTAATAATATGTTCTTAATTCTTGCTACCTGTTATGTATGGTAGTCTTTATGTCTGTCATAAGGCTCTTAATGACTTCTGTTTCATAAAGCGTTCTAAAATTTGGCATCTATAAAAATATGATGAAGCAACCCTGGCTGATGTGGCTCTGTTGATTGAGCGTTGTCCCATACACCAAAACATTACAGGTTTGGGATCGGGGCACATACCCAGGCTTTAGGTTTGATCCATGGTTGGGGTGCAACCTATTGATGTTTCTCTTCTCTCTCCCCCTCCCCTCTTTTTCTTTCAAAGTAATTTAAAAGAAAAAAAATATTTTTAATATGATGAAGCAGTATTATTTTAAATCAGCGGTTCTCAACCTGTGGGTTGCAACCCCTTTGGGGGTCGAACGACCCTTTCACAGGGGTCGCCTAAGACCATCGGAAAAACACATATATATTACATATTGTTTACAGTAGCAAAATTACAGTTATGAAGTATCAATGAAAATAATTTTATGGTTGGGGGTCACCACAACCTAAGGCACTGCATTAAAGGGTCTTGGCATTAGAGAACCACTGTTTTAGATGCTTTAATAACCAGTGAAGCCCTATATGTGGTCGGCAGACTGCGGCTCGCGAGCCACATGTGGCTCTTTGGCTCCTTGAATGTGGCTCTTCTTATGCCTTAGGAGTACCCTAATTAAGTTAATAACAATGTACCTACCTATATAGTTTAAGTTTAAAAAATTTGGCTCTCAAAAGAAATTTCAATTGTTGTACTGTTGATATTTGGCTCTGTTGACTAATGAGTTTGCCGACCACTGCTAGCTGATTTGGCTCAGTGTATAGAGTGTCAGCCTGTGGACTGAAGGGTCCTGGGTTCGATTCCGGTCAAGAGCACATGCCTGGGTTGCAGGCTTGATCCCCAATAGGGGTATGCAGAAGGCAGTGAATCAATGATTCTCTCTCATCATTGATGCTTCTCTCTCCCTCTCCCTTCTTCTCTGAAATCAATAAAAATGTTTAAAAAAAAAAAGTGAAGTTTTTTAATGTTCTTGAATACTGTCTGAAAATGGGTGGATACTAATCTGTTTGAGATTTTAAACACTCTGCTATTACTTGATTTTATTATAAATCCCTCACATATCTAGAAGTATGATAAAATAGGGTATGACTTACAGAATATGACTTTTTTTAATTAAACCAATGTCATACATTTTGTTGTGAAAATTTAATCTGCCTCTTGTAATAAATTTAGATAATTGTAGTGTAAAACAGAGTGATAAGTCACTGATGTTAACATACTGGGAGAGATTTTTGTTTATTTTTTAAAAATCCATACTCACTGAAATTAGAATAATGATTCTCTTGTCAGGATTCTAAATTTATATTTCATATGATTCTCATGCCCAGACTTTAAGGGAGTCAGCTTTAGTTAGCCCTTTGGAATAACTCACCAAAGATATTCTAGTCATGTGTGATATACCTATTTCTTGGAGCTAGACCAGGGGTGGGCAAACTTTTTGACTCGAGGGCCACAATGGGTTCTTAAACTGGACCGGAGGGCCAGAACAAAAGCATGGATGGAGTGTTTGTGTGAACTAATATAAATTCAAAGTAAACATCATTACATAAAAGGGTACAGTCTTTTTTTTTTTTAGTTTTATTCATTTCAAACGGGCCGTAGTTTGCCCATGGCTGAGCTAGACTATAACTAGTTTTACATTTGACTTTTAGATATACTTTTTAGATAAGTTTTTTTCCCTTCAACAATATGCATTTTGATGATTATTTTTGGTGTTGAAATTAGATTGTAGTATTTCCATAGATTTTCATTTGACAAAATACGTTGCTGTGATAACCTCCAAGTTTCTACCTTTGTAAATTTTTTTTCATATCACTTAAGTCAATTTAATTTTCCTCAGTAATGTTTTTTGAAATGATCTTTACCCTTTAGTTTATAAATAAATCAAATTGCTAGTATTTCTCTTTTAATTAATATTTTGCCAAAAAAGACATTACTTTTTTCTTTATCTTGATATCCCACCAACATCCCCAGAACTATATAGATGACAAACATGAGTAACAATTTGTGATGATGAAGAATTAAAGAAATGTGATCTGCCAAATAAATTCTTCATTACTAGAAATATTCAAAAGAAGCTGAGTAAAAGTTAGGACTGGTTAAGTAGGAATTTCTGTGGATGGAAATTTGTACTGGATGACCTCTAAGATCCTTTCCAGCGCTAACATCTTATTCATTTATACTCTATGTCCACTATAATTTATATAATACAGTGAGAAGGAAATGTACTTTTTTGAAAATAAAATAGACATTTTTGGATTATGAGTAGTTTTGTGTTTACCAAAGCAGGAAAATAGCCTACAATCCTTTAAACATAAAAATTCACATTTGAAAATTTTGTGATAATATAATATTTTTAGTGTAATATATATATTCCTAAATGTCAAGTTGAATGTGAACTGTGTAATCACAGTGTTCTGGATATATATTTAAATTGATTTATTTCTGCTCTTTTGGTGTAGAGTTCACCAATAAAACCAGTACCCACGAGGGAGTTTCAAAAAACAGAAGACATAAAAAGATATTCACATCAAAACAGGTTTGAAAAAATAATTCTATTCATTTTTTTCTGTCTTAACACTCAATAAAAAGCATGAAATGATTTTAGTTTTATATAGATCTATGTATAATGAAGACATTTAGATACTGTGTGTTTTAGACACTCTGTATTTAGAACTGGGTGATAATGTGCCTTTTGTGCTCATATAATAGCAAAACAAGTAAAATTGATTTATTGTTCCTAAATTCAGATCACCTAAAGCATTACCTAAACAATTATTTGATTTGAAGATACTTAATAACAATGAGATTTTTATGGTGATAATCTGGATTTATCCATGAAGAAAGCTAAATGAAATTCTCAGCCTTTGTTTTTTTGCTTCTTCTTTGTTTTTATGAACTCCTAAAGCAGTAGACTTGGCATGCCTATTCTTAAAACAATAGTATATTTGCTATGTAGACGTGTCATACATAGTTCTTTACTTATGCTTGACAGGATATTATAGTTTAGGGGACTGAGATATAGATGGATAAAGAAAATGGGGAGAGTAAAGAAATTTATAATTTGGCCTTTTATAGTCTCATCAGTCAGTTCATAGTGATTTAGTTAAATTTTGTATCTTTGACATTTATCTCAAAATGACTTTTTAGTTGCCATGTCTATTTCTACTGAGGGTGTAGTGTTCTGAGATTCCAATTCAGGGATTTCCTATTACATTTTCCCACTTTGAATGGACATAGACTCTATCTCCTGGCCCTGTTAGTTGCTATATTCATCACAAATAAAGCTCAAGATCTCTAGGATTTAGTATAAACCCTCAAAGTGAAAGCCAGCTTTTTAGCCCAGTTGCCTTATGTATTGGTTTCTAATGCTTATGTAACAAATTATCACAAATTTAGCAGCTTAAAACATGCCCACTTATTATATCACAATTCTGCTGGATAGAAACCTGGACAGGATTTCCTTGGTTCTTTGCTTTGAATCTCACAAGGCTGAATCAAGGTATTGCCTGGCCTGGATTCTTATCTGGAGACCCTGGGGGAGAATCCCCTTCCGGGATTATACAGGTGGTTGGCAGAATTCATTTCCGTGCAATTACGGACTAAGGTCCCATTGCCTGGTTGTCTATCTGCTGGGAGTCATTTTCAGCTTCTAGAGTCCACCCACATTTCTTAGTTCATGGCTTTTTCTATATCAAGCCAGCAGTGGTGGACCAACTCCTTCTCACGTTTTGAATCTCTCTGATTTCCCTTTCTGCTGCACCTCACAAACTATATTGCCTTCCTCTTCTGTTAAGGGTCCATATGATTTTATTAGGCCCACATGGGTAATCTCCCCATTTTAGGTCAGCTGATAAGTAACTTTAATTTCATCTGCAAAGTCCTTTCGATGTGTAATGTGTTCACTGTAGTAACATCAGATGTGGGGATCATAGGGGCCAAAAATCTGTCTATTAAACTTTAATACAGAGTTTCTATTTTTACTTATTTTTATAATCTGTGAATTTTTTATTTTCATGGCACTTCAGCAGTGTATTCTAAAATACTATTTTATTCAACATTTTAGTTGTTTCTGTTGGAAGAATCATTCAGAGTATGTAATCTGCCACAGTGCTAGAAACTGAAGCCATGATTATATTCATCCACAGGGGATTGGTCCCAGGACCACTTCGGATTCCAAAATGTGCAAGGCTGAGTTTGCTCTCCATATCCCCGGGTTCCACATTGGGAGATTCAACCAATCATGGATTTAAAATGTTGGTTGAGCCTGGCCAGTGTGGCTCAGTGGTTGAACGTCGACCCATGAACCAAGAGGTCACCAGTTCGATTCCTGGTCAGGACACATGCCTGGGTTGCAGGCTTGATCCCCGGTAGGGGATGTGCAGGAGGCAGCCAATTAATGATTCCTCTCATCATTAATGTTTCTATCTCTTCCTCTCCCCTCCTCTCTGAAATAAATAAAAATATACATATTTTTTAAAAGTTACTTGCAGATTTTTAACTGTGCAAGGGGGTGAGGGTTGATGTTCCTAACTGCCACATTGTTCTAGTGTCAACTGTACTTCATTTTTTCAATTAGATATTTGCTCAGTATCTACGTGCTACTTCTATGTGCCAAGTACTTTTCTAGGTATTTGGGAAAAGCTGTAAACTTTAGTCAAAGCTCCCATCCTCATCGCGCTTATCTGCAAATAGACTTGATAATTAGAACCTACAAAGCAATATCACCTCTAACTACTGTCAACTTCAGGCTACCAAGACCTGTCTTAACCAAAATATCAGTCCTCCAGTTACACTCAAAGGAATTAAGTCAGTTTAACAAACTACTACTTGCCCATTAGTCATTGCTGAAAGTTGCTTACTTTCTCCTCCCAATTGCCCTTCCCACCCCTTACCCTCCATGTACATTGCTCCCACCTCCCCCTTCCACACACACATAGAATGTACCCACCTGAAGAATAATAAAGGTAGGGGGATAGATTATGATAAATTGTTAAGTATTTTATAGTTATTTGCCAAGATGGATGAAATAAGTGTAAAGTTAAAACTAACAAAAATTATCATTTTTGAAAGTGTTTTACTTATTATCTAAATGTCATTTTAGTTCAGGAGAGGTGATAGTATCATGCTTAGTCTTGTAAAGTTTATTAATTTCTATTGGAAACAATATAGAATTAAAAAACATTTGGCTAATAATCAGTGTAAAATTTCAGGTCCTAAATGTCAAAAAGTCACTGTTGCAACATTGTTAATTTTAAAGACACAGATGAGTAACAGACTTGAAACACCAAGTCCAGTTCAGGAAAAAGATAAATACCAAACTGTAAGAATTAACACTGATAAAACTGAGAGGCAAGTTTTATTTTTTAAGCATTAAATCAGGTTTCATCATTTTCTTGAAAATAAAAACCAAGAGTGTCTTTACTTTTGCTCTTAAAATTGCTTCATCAATTGAAAATGGGAGTCGGAGTTCTTTGCAAGTACAGTTACCAGGTTCTGTAGTATTCCAGATTTCTGTTGATAAATGACTTTGTATATAAAAGGATCTCCATTTATATGTATCTTGTTTCAATCAAGGTAGTAAAGAAGATAACATTTATGCTGTAAAAAAATGATACTGTTTGAAAGTGATCTCAAATAATTGTATTATCAGCATTGGCTGATCACAGACAGTTGTTAGCTGTCTGTAACTTGATCAGTGATATCATCACCTGAAACATGAGTTGGAGACATCAGGTATTCCTGTAGCTTAATTTAATGACTTGGGCTCAAGTTTACAAAATTTACTTAGCCTTTAAGTGCTCACTATACAGTTTGCCGGTTGATTGATAGAAAGCTACATTAACAATGAAGTTTCACTTTTATATATCTGTCTCTCTTATCAAAGAGGGTTTTTTCTTTCTCTTTTTTCTTTTCTGGATCAGGGTTCCAGTTGGGCCATCTTCTTCACTGTCACCAAGTCACAATCAGGTAAAAAAATGTTCTGTTTTAGTTTTTATTGTTTTTAAACTAAGATGGTTTTCTTTTTTTATAATACTTAAAGTTACTATTAATTGTCAGATATCTGTGAACTTCACTACCTGTCTCCTCAGTCATACAGTTAATATAGTATGTACACCTGATACTTGCTAACAGTGTTTTTAGATATCAGACAGAAAATAAAAATCTTTATCCACATGATAGCTTTATCCTATATAATAAAAGGCTAATATGCAAATAGACCAAACAGTGGAATGACCAGTCACTATGATGCGCACTGACCACCAGGGGGCAGACATTCAACGCAGGAGCTGCCCCCTGGTGGTCAGTGCACTCCCACAGAGGGAGCACCGCTCAGGCAGAAGCCAGGCTCATGGCTGGGGAGCGCAGCAGTGGTGGCTGGAGCCTCCTTCCTCCACGGCAGCACTAAAGACTCCTCGGCGGATGTCTGCCTGCCAGTGTGGGGAGTAGGCCTGAGTCGGCAGCTGGACATCCCCTGGGGTCCTGGACTGCAAGAGGGCGCAAGTGGGCTGAGGGGGACCCCCCACCCCCTGTGCACGATTGTCGTTCATCAGGCCTCTAGCAGTACATATAAGAACACAGTGCAAAATGAGAAAAAAAAATAGCAATAAACACATTTAAAGAAATGCTAGGTGACTGCAAAGTAAAAGTTGGTTCAGTAGTAGTTCCCTAAATGGATAAGTTGGTCTTTATCCCCACTTGCATATGCAAACTGATTTTTGTTTCAGCTATCACATACAGACTTAGAACTTCCTCAGAGAAGAGAACAGTTAGTAGAGCGCACTAGGAGAGAGGCACAGCTTGCTGCCCTACAGTATGAGGAGGAGAAAATAAGGACCAAGCAGATTCAGAGAGATGCTGTCCTGGACTTTGTCAAAGTGAGTCCTTTGAATTCATTTAATGATATTCCTAAAGTTTCTGAGAAGTGTTTATTTGTTTTGCTGAGGCTATCAGTTTTTGTTGTCTTAATTAAAAGGTCGACTTTTTTTCCCTCATATAAGGAATCTTTAGTAAATAGTGCAATTGTCTCCTATTGGTGATTAGATTAATTGTCCTCATGTAGATAGGCCTGAGGACAATTAGAAATTATGATCTTGCCCTAACCGGTTTGGCTCAGTGGATAGACGTCGGCCTGCGGACTGAAAGGTCCCAAGTTCAATTCCGGTCCAGGGCATGTATCTTGGTTGTGGGCACATCCCCAGTAGGGGGTGTGCAGGAGGCAGCTGATCAATGTTTCTCTCTCTTCGATGTTTCTAACTCTCTATCCCTCTCCCTTCCTCTCTGTAAAAAATCAAGAAAATATATATTTTTAAAAAGTTATGATCTTGCTCTTCTTACTCTTAGGACAGCAGTCTCTTTCTCTTAATTAGCAATCACTTTATTATCCAGCTGCCATTCTCTCAATCTCTAGTGCATTAGTTATGAAAATGAAAGTGCCATGCAAATATAAACTGTTGTTATCTAACCTATCTCTAACTTCCTCACTCTGCTGAACACCAAAAATTTGTGAGATTCACAGGTCCCTTTAGAGTGATCTTTGATTTCTTCCTTTCTGTTCTCTCCATACCTACTCAATTAACAACTCCTGTTAATACTTTTCTTCTTTTTTTCCCCCCTAACATTTTATAGCCTCTGTAGTTGCTTCTAAACCTGGTTCATTTTTTGCCTGTATTGCTTAAGTCTTCCTATTCTGAAATCACCTTGGATTTTTTCTCATAATTAATTGTGTATTTTCGTTCGTTTAATATATGTCTCTCCCATTTTCTGTAAATTTCATGAAGACAGGGACTATGTCTGTCCTGTTTATTCACTGCTATATCCCTAGATCTGAGCAAGTGTAAGCCTGTAGTAAAGCTCAATAAATATTTGTTAAATGAATGATTGAATGAATGAATCACTTGTGTCCTCCTAAAGTTTTCTCTCCTGTTTCTTAACTCTAGCCAAAGACCATCTTCTTTAAGTATCATCTCAGCAATTCTCAACCTGTGGGTCGCGACCCCTTTAGCAGTCGAATGACCTTTCACAGGGGTCGCCTAAGACCATCCTGCATATCAGATATTTACATTACGATTCATAACAATAGCAACATTACAGTTATGAAGTAGCAACAAAAATAATTTGTTGGTTGGGTCACAACATGAGGAACTGTATTTAAAGGGCCAGAAGGTTGAGAACCACTGATCTACATGATAAATCCTTTTTTTTTTTTATTGATTTCAGAGAGGAAGGGAGAGGGAGAGAGAGATAGAAACATCAATGATGAGAGAGAATCATTGATTGGCTGCCTTCTGCATGGCCCCTACTGGGGATCGAGCCCACAACCCAGGCATGTGCCCCGACTGGACTTGACCCCAGGACCCTTTAGTCTGCAGGCCGCCACTATCCACTGAGCCAAACCGGCTAGGGCTTTCTTTTTTTTTTTTTTTCTTTTTTCAAATGTATTAGCCTATGATGATGATTAATCTCTCATGCTCAAGAGGATGATAATTTGCCTAAGGTTAAATATTCAGCTAGTATGTGGCAGAGGAAGGATTCTAATCAAGACAGGCTGAAGAGAAAATGGGAATAAGGTTGAAAAAGAAAAGTTTCTTTAAAAAAAAAGACAAGCTGGCTCCACATCCTACTCTATGACCACAATAATAATGGCTAACTCAATACTATGTCCTGAGTGCTGTTCTGTGCATTATTTTTGATATTTTTTTGTTAATTTAGAGAGAGAAACATCACTGTGAGAGCAAAACATCCATGGGCATCCTCCTGCATGCTCCCTACTGGGATCAAGCCTGCAACCCGGGCATGTGCCCTGACTGAGAATCGAACCTGTGACCTCTTGGTGCATGCGACAACACTCAACCAACTGAGCCACACTGGCCAGGCTATGCTTGACTCTTGGAAAGTTACTCAGCCATTTTGTGCCTTTAGTTTCCTCATACTGTCAGGGCCAGCCTGACAGGTTGAGCCGGGCTGAGGTAGGGAAGTGGGAATTGAGAAAAGAGAAAGACAGGAGAGCAGGATCGGGAGGACTGCAGCTCAATCGAGGAACTGCAGCAAGTTTATTAACCACGCAATGTTTTTTATACACAAAACACTGAATAGGAGGTCTGTCAAGAGGAATGTATTCTTTGTTCCTCTTAATCTCTAAGGGAGGGACAGAGCGGAAGGACAAGTTCTCGGTACAGCAAATCTCAGTAAATAGTTACAGACTTCTTGGTAAGCCATGAAAGGCTGTTCTCAGTCTACAAATGTTGCTCTCATTCTACTGATAACCGCCTTCCAAACAAGTCTGGGGAAACTGTGTGGGTAAGGGTCCCAGCCTTGCTGGCCCCTTCAAGTGCAAGGACCGTGTCAGCTTACACCCGGTCTCCAACATCCTACATGTAACATTTAACTGTTAGATATTAATTATTTCAGAATTACAGATAGATCTAATACTTTTACTACTATGGTGAGCGCTACACACCCTACCATCACAGTGGATTTTAAAAATTATAAGAGAGATTTCAAGAGAAGCATCATTACTCTTGTACATAAATGTGTAGTGAATGTTGACTAAATCATTGAAGATGAGCGGGGGAGGGAAATTTTGAGGCTAAAAATGATGGTTTTAATAGGAGTCTAGCATTGTGAAAAGAATGTAGGAATTGGAGTCAGAAGACATAAATGCAAATCTCACTTATGCTACTTAAAACTTTGCAGCCTTGCATATGTCACATAACCTCTCTTATCTTCAATTTTCTCATCTCTAAATGTTTATGATGTTTGTTTATCTCAGAATAAAAAGAAGAATCACTTGAGACACTGTACATAACACATTGTAAAGCACTGGCTGTACAGATGTTATAATATTTTTATTTGACATAATAACAGAAATTAGCAAATTGGGGAAAAGAGTCAGTTGGTTTGGAAAATTGTGAGTTTGTTTTTGAATGTATTGAACATGAGGTGAGAGTGGGGTTCCAAATAGAGTTGTGTCCGCAGGCAGTTGAAATGCAAATATGAAATTTGCTGATGGTTGAGAGCTCAAGCTGTTAGCATTAGAGTGATTTCTAAGCCATTAGAGAAAAAGAATGATTTCCGTAGGAGAACATAGTGAGAGATCACTATTTTGTGAACGTTTGTATGCATGTGTATATTAAAAACATAGTTTTAAAATTTTCTATGTATAGATGTTTATAGACATGAAAATACTGTTTGTCATTGTATTGCCTTTCCT